ATTAGAGGAATCGCAGCCGAGTGCAGGCCCGGCCCGGCCGGGACACCGCCATGGCTGCAGCGGTACCATGGCTCGGCAGGGCTCGGCACCCGCGGCGCTGACAGTGGAAAAAGCCGCGCTCAGGATCGCGGATAAAGGTCCCGCCGGGCTCAGTGCGGGGCCCGGCGCTGCGGGGGCGGGAGAGGCCGCCCTTCACCCCCTCCCGGCCCGGGGCCCGCTCCCACCGCTCGGCCGCCTCCCGGTCCGGGGGTTCCCGCACGGGTGAGGGGAGGGGGCGCAGCCGCCCCGCCGCAGGGCAGTGTGACCTTGGCCGAGCCTTTCCGGGCCCGGCGGCGGGCCTGGGGCTGCGCAGACAGGGAGAAGGTAAAGCCGGGCCCGGGGTCGCCTCACCCGCAGCAGCCCCGCTGCCGGCCGCCGCCCGCACAGCATCGCCCCCGCTGCCGCCGCCATGTTCCCGCCGGCGCCCCCGTCACCTTCACCACCGCCGCCGCCCCCGCCTATAGCCGGCGGCGCCCCGCCCCCTGCCCGCTGCCATTGGCCCCGCTGCGCGGGGAGGTGCCACCCCCGCCCCTGCCATTGGCTGGCGCGGAAGGCGGGCGGTGGCGTCAGAGGGGCCGGCGCGTGCGGTGCCCGAGGGCCGCTGGTGCCGTGCGCGGGACCGGCCCAGCCGGGAGCTCCGCTGGGCTGGCGAGCAGGCGGAATTCGTGCAGGGAAAGGGGGATCGGACATCGCCACAGGCTGCCCAGGGAGGCGGCCCTGTCACCGTCCCTGGAGGCGCTTAAGGAAAGAGTGGGCGTGGCACTCAGTGCCACGGTCTGGGTGACACGGTGGAGCTGGGTCACGGGTTGGACTCGGTGATCCCGGAGGTCTTTTCTGACCGAATGGATTCTGCGATTCCGCAGCGCCAGGCGCGTTCCTCTCGCCTGGGGGCCAGGCGGGGGATGGACAGCCTGGGATGCCTCGCCGAGAAAGAAAATCACTGGTAGCGAACCGCATCGAGACAGCTGGAAAATCCTTGCGGGGAAGAACCAGCCCCCGGGGGTGTGTCCTGTCCGCCACCGCCCCTCCTCGGCCCGGCCCTCGCCCGCCCCGCCTGCAGGTTAAACTGACCTGAGCCGCGGACATTTAATCCCGTGTCGGAAACATCCTGCGCACGACAAGGCCGTGGGGATGAAAGCGCCGAGTATGGCTGAGCCCGGCACGCTTTGTGCCTGGCGTGCCCTTGTGCTGCAGCCGAGTGCTGCTTTCAGAGGAGTCAGCAACTTAACTCCCGCTAAACCCCTTCCTGCCTGGCCATGGCATAAACCCCGGACTTGGTCAGCTCAGAACTCAAGCGTGGCCGAGAAGGGTCGCGGCAGCTGCCTGCACGGAGCGACTGATGCAGCTGAGCTCAGGCTGCCCATCCCGGTCCCACGGTCCCTGCTGCACTGTGCCTTCTCCCCGCACGCTCTCTCGTCTCTGAACCTGCATTTGTGCTGGAAGGCCAGCACTAAATCCCTACAGCTGTTTGCCAGCCTGACAGTGCCCCTCTTCACCCTGTCTCTCCAACATGCACAGAGCCGGGCCAGTAAAAGCCTGGATCTTTCCTGGTCGCCAGCTTTGTATCTCAAAGGAACAGGTTCAGAACACAAAATTACTTTCTCTGAATTTTGCTGGAGCACACAGTCTAGGACAAGCAATTCTGTATTTGTTTCTGATCAGTCTCTTCTCCTCAACCACTTTTTTAGCCCCCGAAGGAGTTAGTATACTGCTACAGTAACCCACAACTGAATGAAGCATTCCCCAGAGCTGAGGTCTGCCAGTCACATAAACAAGCATTTACTTCCTTCCACTTGTACCCCAAACTAGAAAAAATGCCAAGAACTAGGCTTTGTAATATAGCACTAGAAAGCAAGAGTATTTCAACAACCTGTTAACATCCATTTGCTACCTTGACTTTTTTTAAATATTTGATCTTCACATTGTAGAACTAACATTTGTCAAAACTACTTCAACTGATTTTCTGTTCTACATCTCATTTCCCTGTGAGAGAGGATTTCACTTTGTCTTTGCTCTCAAAAGTAAAATACTTCTTGCTTTCCATATATATCCAAAGATTTTCCAGACATGCAGTAAGAGGCTGACTGGGACAGGCACTGGCGAGGGAAGCATTTGTACTCCTTTGCTTCCTTGACTCTCAGTAGCTGATGTTCTAAGGTGGTCTAGTCTAGACTTTTGATTTAGAGACGGTTTTCAAGTTCAAATCATACATAACATAGGAACTGATAAATACTGTCTCAGGAAAAACTGAAGGTTTTACTCTGAAAATATATATGTACCATATAGCAAAAACACCCAGGTTGGATGAAGATATTTTTCAGAAATAAGTAATGCTGAAAACAGGTAGAACAAAACCCAGAAAATTCTCATTTAACTTGCCTTTACTCCTGTGGTATAAAGCTCTTTTTCAGGGATATAACCTGCTAACATTCTTTAATTTTTTCATCATCTCTTCTCACCAAGATTGACTATGATGTACTAATTTCAAGGTTACTTTTGATGTCCAGTCACAGACTATTAAAAAGTCACACTGTGCTGCTCTTGCTTAGCTCAGCAGCTGGTATTTGCTTTGGCCATGCCCTGGATCCACAGAGGGAAGCAGCAGCTGCCATTCATGACTCCAGCTGTTCTTTCTAGCAGGTGTTTAAAGGCTGTGCAGGAGCTGAAGCATGGTATCCAACTGAATATAATAATATATTATATATATTATATAATATATATATAATTATACTATAATATAATAATAGCAACCTGCCATCAAAACTCTTCCTACATGAACTGACAGTTGGCCAATTGCCATGCACAGTACTGAGCCCTCACTCAAAAATAGCTGTTTATTCCATACAAATAGTTCTAAACTCTGCATGTACCAGAGAGCACAAAACACGATGGTTAGCTGCTGCACTTACAGGAGAGAGTTGAAACGTAAAAAGAGATTCACATTAAAAGGCAAGAACAATCAGAGAAGAAAAGCCATTACATTAAAAGCACTCCTTCAGGCAAGTGACTGTTCCCACATCACGATTTACTGCAGGATCAGCTCCCTGAAGGTCCTCGCAGCAACACCAGTAACTTTCAGTGATGCACCTTGTAAATCACTTCAGAGACAAATCAGCCAAAATATTCAGCAATCCAAGTTCATCCCTGTGAGTTGCAGAAACATAACCTTTTTAAAAATGCCATAAACTAAGTTAGGCAACTCCCAGCCACTTTTGGCATGGTAGGCTTTGATACACTGACTGAAAGACTACAGCTCATCTTTTAATAGAATTCAGAAGACTAAATAGCTCTACATATAATCTTACATTTGTAAAAATTTTTACCAAGAAAAGAATTTAAAGTCTCCACTTTTGTTTTTTAATTACTCTGATCATAACATCTGCTGGGACTTGAAGTCAGGCAAATTTCATACATACAGTGGCAATTTTTGGAGCAGCACCTGAATTCAACTTAAAAATTTTGTAGGGTGAGACACCAAAATACCTTGCTAAATGAGTAGTCTTTTAAATTACATTTTTATTTTGCAAGAAAATAAATTATACAACTTAAAAAATAAAATTCAAAAATTAAGCAGTACATCAAAATAGTTCAGCTGGACTGCCATACAGAAACTACCACCATTCAAAATTGTACAGCATTATTATCTTGGTAGTGGCACACATTCAAAATTGTAAATACCATACGGAGATAGTTATTACAACTCAGGAACCCGAGTTTGCTCAACACTCCAGACTACATATAGTGTATATTGACAGGAAAGCTTTCATGTATTGTTTATTTCACAAATATGACCTTAAAGAATTACAAAGATAGCATCCCAGTCATTTAGATGAAAATAGAAAACAGTTTGAGATAGCAAATCTTTCTGTAAAACTATCAAATCTTTTTGCCAATTGTATTTTTAAAATTTGCACTTTACAGGACAATGGCATCCCAATGCAGATAAATGCAAGATGTGAACATTCAGAACATTTATATTAATTTTAAAAAGATGAAAATGAGAAAGTCACACTGTCATTTGGAAATGTAACTGCATTACAGTCATAACGAAAAATAAATGAGTAAAAGGAGAAGCTAGGGACACCAACTGTGGAAAGAGGAAAATGGAAGACTTCAGAATTGAAACTGAGATTATCATCAGGTTGTTGGGACAGAGAAAGATTTAACAGTATATCTTAATTAAACCCATTAAGAGCGATTTCCCCCCGCCCCTTCTATACCAGATTTCATTCCTTAGCTATTCACCGTGGCAGTGTGTGTGGCAACATGTTTTTCAGATGCAGCACCTCCTTTAGCTAGGTCTTTGGACATATATATTCATAGCTAAAAATTGCAGCCTTAAAAGTGCGTTGTTGCCATATTGCAAGTGAAGAATAGTTTTCATTTAGATCTGAACTCTACCCTCCCCAAAAGAACAGCTTACCCCAGGTATCTCCCTGTGCCCCAGGTAATACTAGTTTTAAGTGCATATTGGTGAAGTGACCTGATGAAGGATGCTAAACATGATTCTGCATCTTTAACAAATTTGCTGGTGTCTGTCTTAGATTTCATAAAAAACCCGACATCCATTTCTGGTATATATTTCAAGAAAAATGACCACGTCATAGGCACATTACCAACTGTATTTCCATCCCAGGTTTTCAGAATTGTATAGGTAACAATCAGGTTGTATTGTATTTATTAGTTGAGGGAATGTGTAGCTCCTTAGCTTTTAGCAAGCTTTTCCTTTCTACATACATTCCAGATTCCTAAAGAGTTGTATCTGTCTTAAACTTCTCTCTCAAATTTAACCAATGGCTTCTAAATTAGCATTATCCCCTTGGCAGCTCTTTCCATGTGACCATTTCACACCTTGCTTCTCTGGTCAGGGTTGGAATTTTTCATGTTGAAGAGTGTGCTCAGACTGTCATGTTCTCCCCGTTATCCCAAGTAAACATTTATTACTTTAAAGTTACAAAGACTGAAAGTCTTGCAGCACAAAGTGTTTTATTAGAATTTTGTTTTCTAATGTTCAAATAGTTTCATTGGTTAACTACACAGAGCACCACTTCCTTTTGATTCTGAATTGCAACACCACAGGGCCAACATAAAAGATGCAATATTTTTAAACAGCATCTACTTTTGAGTGTCAACAGAGGCATGAACACAAACTATAGGATTTCAATCAATTGTAATTGGCCAGGCCTTGATTTCTCCATCTCTTGGTCATGAAACCCTCACTACCAAAAACTTCTTACTCAAACAGATGTCCAAATACACTGTTCTCAGGCAGTCACACTGGCATTTACATTAGTAACAGAGCACACAGCCTGCTTAAGGGTGCAAACAGCCATTCTTGGAGAGTTTGCTTTTAAACTACTCCTCCTGCATATTTTACTGTAACCATGTGAAAGTAAAACTCCTCCTCTTACTTACTGGAAGGCTTTCTTTTTTGACTAAAGTTAATTTTATCTTCTTCCCCATTTCATCATCAAAGATGAGGCCTTTAGATGTCATAGTTCAACTGGTTAATTGAAAAATAACTTCACACACTTGTAATTTATAGAAGAAATATTCATACAGAACTGAATAAAGCGCAACTTACCTTTGTCCTAAGACAGGCACTCTGCTCCTATGACTCATGGAATCGCTCCAGTACGTGCTGGGACATTTCAGAACAGCAGAGAGTAGGGCAGTGCCAAATGACTATCTCAGATGATTGAGAATGGAAGAGGTAACATTAAAAAGTTGAGATTCCTGGTGTGTGTTTGGCACTCTCTCTACATACACTGAACAAGGTATTTTTCCTTAGCGTTTTATCATTTTCATTAGAAGAGTACTTCCTACCCTACCAGTTACCAAATGGAAAGCAGAGGGTTTGTTTTTCATATAAAGATGTTGACTAGTCCAATTGGAATAATCTTGCATGTATATAAAAGTTACCACTGAGGAAATAGTACAGGGATCTTCAAGTGTTATTCTCTTTCTGCGGGAGTTGTGCATAAATTACTCTTTAATGCATCCTGATATATGTAGTCATACTGAAATATTTGGAATATAAATATTAAATGTACAAGGAAATACACTTAATATTTCTGTTCCTATAGCAGACCCACCCAAGAAAACTGCTTTTAGAGTCAAGTATCATTCAAGAAACTTTTACCTTGTCAAAAAGGATTGCAGCAAATCACCCGTCCAAATTAAGGTAACAACATATCCACTTGTTTACAGGAAACAATTTAAAAACAATGATCTCTTGTTTAGGGAAAAATATCACCAATGACTTGGAATTACTTTTGTGTCACTTAATATGTTAATTATTAAAATCCAGTTACTAGATTGAAGCACTGCTCTAGCAAACAGGTTTTAACTGTAACAAATACGGATCAGTTGTGACGCATGTGTTTGTGTCTCTCAAATGTTATTACATGAAAAGGATCAGAGATGGACAGTACATTACTCTGTTGATCCAAAACACAAAAGTGAAAGTGCTACTTCTAGTCCTAATTGCATCAAAAAAAAAAAAAACAAACCAACAACCCAAAAACCAAAACCAAACAAAACAAAAAACAAACCCAAAACAAAACTAATAGCAGTTCCTCAGTGCATGAATATTTGAATATTTTTTCCTTGTGCAAGTACTGGTCATCTAAAAACCCAAACCTGTATTCTTCCTGGTGGGTGTAAATCAAATCTACTTTAAAAAGTTCACAATGGGCTCTTCATGAATGCAAGTTTCCCACAAAACAGCATGCTGTTGAAAGTGTGCAACATGAAGGGAATGCCATCATGCTAGCTGAATGAGATTGGCAAAATATAGTCCTCTGTAAGGTAAGGCAGGGATTTTAATATGTAATGAAAGTCAAAACAAGTCCTTCTGCAGCATAAACTGTTGCAGCTGTCTGTCCAAGCACCCTTCCATTTATGTTCTCAGCATCCCGCAGAGTCCTCCAATTATGCCATGTATATAAAGGTGTTGATATCCGACTCATCTCTTCTGATATATTTGTGCTCTATAAGCCATTCAATTTGCTCTTTTATCATTTTCTTTTGTGGCAAGAACATGTTTTTCAATATTTCTACCAGTTCAGTCTGAAGCTGGGCATTAGTAATTTTCTTGCGCATCTTCATTATTTGGATGATAGCCTCCTAGTGGGGCACAAGAAAAAAAAATTAAATACCTGGGTGAAGTGACAAAATGAACACAGTATTAATAGGAGGCTCCTGGTAAGGAAAGACAGCAAGGAAATCTGTATTTTTCCTTAGAAATCAGAAATACACTGCATTTTTTTAGCCTATATAGAACTGCTTTTACAAAGAAGCTGATAGAGGAAAAGAATGAAGCACTGGCAAGATGAAAGAGATGTAAGACAATTCCAGTCAAAGGAGCAGTTAAATCCCATATCTAGAGTGTGAATTACTCACTAAAACCAAATGTTAACTCACACCCTGAGCAGAAGTTGCAATTTACTAGGTGACTCGTGATATACCTTGTTAACATTTCATTCATTTCCTAAGTACAACCAGGCATTAACCTTGCTGCTGCCAGAATGGTTACATCATGTTACATCAGGTGGTACAACCCACAATGCGCATGGCCTGCAATCCAGCCTGACTGACAGAACAGACCTGAAACTTGAAGGCAAAATGAGACTCCATTGTATGTAATGATCCCTGATGCCTGAAAAAATTCAGGCTTTTTTTAAACTGTCAGCTCAAAAGATTTGGCATGAGTAGCTGACTATCAACTACAGAGCAGGAAGCTGCAGTTTGAACAGCTAAGATGCACTTTTCAACTTCTCTAAGGAGAAGTCATAGTACTGTACTACAGCGTGATTCCACCTCCAAGATTATTCTTTTCATACAGATCAAAGAGATCTCAAGATCAGCAATGCTGTTTATTCATGGTGGTGGCCAGTGTCAGTCAACTTTGCCAATCTGCTGCTGTCACCCACCCCACACTGTATGCCTTCACCACTTGGGTAACATCTGCTTTGTCCTCTTTGAAGATGATGACCTGGTACTTCAGAACAGGAGGCTGACAGCTATAAGTGCACCAACACACATGCAGGATCAGGTATTCACAAGGATCTAGAGTCATTCAGCAGAAGTGACTTCCAGTGGCATTTAAAGGCACCCATTTCATACATCAACATCCAATGGTGGGCAGCATGTAATGATAATACAACAAATTACAGTAATGACAATGCAACAAAAGAAATAGGGGAATTTTGTATTCCTCTGGCAGGTTACTTGCCTGGGTTCGCAATATTCTTAGCTGGACTATTCCTTCATTCTCCTCTTCCCGCATCCTCTCTGTAGTAAGTTGCAATCGACCAATCAAATTTATCTTGCCCCTTTTCTGAACTTTAGCATTTTTTCTGAAAAAAGTCATATTGCATGAAAGTGAGCAAAAAAAATACAAACCCCAAAACTTTCAATTATAGAATTCCTGTTAAACTACAGCAGCAACAAGTACCATGACAGATCAGATACTTATAGGTTATTAGCACTGCAGCAGCGAGAGAGCTGTCTGATAGATCAAAACTCAATGCCAATTTCTCTGCACAATGAAACCTAAATAATGCTAGCAAGCATTACAAGTAAATCCAGCAGCTGAAACAACAGAACTTCAGAAAAATATATTTCAATTTAATTACATAAATGTAGAGTTTTTGGAGGAAGGTTTTACAACAAAGTTCAGGAAATATGGATAGTTAATATTCCATCAAAAACTGTCTGGGACAAAACCCAGCTATTGCAACAAAGAAAGGTGATGACATTCTTCAGTGGTGACCCACAAACTTTCTCTACAGCTTGTGTCTTCTCTCATGTCCTATCATCATTTCCCAAAGTTCAGAATCCTGATGACAGGAATAAGCATTATGGCCCTGGGCAACAAACTAAGCCCCAGGAAAGCAGATTCGTCACTTATCCCTTTCTCGACAGATCCAGATGTCCAGCTGCTGCTGAGAATGAGGCACAGAATCTGAGGTTCCTAGCAAGGAGCCAGTTCTCATCATAGACATTGAGAATGGAGGCAAGCAGAAGCAAGTAAACCACACTGAACGTAGTATGTATCACTTAGACATTCTCTCTTTGTATTATCTTGTGCTCAAAGGATTTCAAAGCACCAATAAAAGAGCACTGCAATTCTCACAGAAATAAAGACACTCCTCTGTGGGGAGAGCCACACCAAAAATCCTGGCTCTTGACAGCACACCACATCATTAAGCAGCTTCACTTCCTTTTTGTTAACTTATAATTGTTTCTGAACTTGTGTGTATGTATAATAATCAATACAGCACTACTGTGATTAGAGGCTGTCTTCCATGAAATTTTATGGACTTACTGCTAACTGGAACATAGCAAAGCCTCCAATTTTGCACTTCATCCCTTAGTGTGTAAGAAATTTAATTTCACAAAAATTAGAATTATAGAAACATTTGTTTGAAGGGGCTGCTGGAGGTGATCTAGTCCAATCACCTACTTGAAGCATAACTATTGCCAAAATAAGTGAGTGCAAGGCAGCAAAGCATGTGTCTAGGTTCAAGAACAAAGGTTAAGTTAAAGTGAATTCCTTTAGTTATAAAACAGTACATTGTTATTTTACTTTTCAAACATCATCTTACATTAAACTGAACTCCTGGTTCACCGAGAAGAGGGTTCCTTCTGTAAAGTCTTTGGGTGAATTGACTTGAGGTTCATATAATAAAACCTGACGTTTCAGCTTTGGAAATGCTACAAGAGACTACAGAGAAAAGGGAAGGGGGAGAAAGAATGAAAATAAAACACCAGACTTTCTAAATGGAAACAACTACTTTCTATAACCATAATTCACTGCAATACTGACTGTAGTGAGGGAACCACATAGCCTTGTTTGGAACTAGTAAAATCAGAGTGGGGACACGGTTTACCAAATCTCCTTCTGAAATGGGTTAGTATAAGCAAAATCATACAAAGTAGTAAAACACACAAACTCATGGCTACAGAAGTGGTGTCAAGTTTGACTTACGTGATTTCTCTCTTTATTCATGAGCTAAATAATTAGTAGTCTGCTAAAGCAAACACTGAACTTACTTCTAAGGAACATTTACCAGGTGGCACTAATTTCCTAGAGTTAGACCAAGCCTACTAGACAATACACAAATATAACTTTCTGCTTTAGACAGCATATGGTCAAAAAATTCTTGCAGTTTCCAAAAGTTTGTGAAGTAACACTGGGTAGAGAGAACATGTCAATGTAAAGGCTGTGTGTGTTCAGCAGCAGTGCAAGGAGCCAGCACTACAACTGATTAATTACCAAGAAAGGCGTTCACATTTGAAAGTGTTATCAGGCAGTGCTTTAAGAATACTAATCCAGTATTTCAGAGCACAAAAATCAAGAAGCAATCTGTTTCAAGAGAAAGGGATATACCCATAAAGTCCTCCTAAGTTCTGCATCAGGGAGCTCAGTTGCCAGTTTAAGATTTTCAAAGCTGATCTTCTCTCTGGGTCTTTGGTTCCATGCAAACAGCACAGCCAGCTGAAATGTTGTAACCTCCAAGTCATACTGGCCAACCTCATTCTTAAATGTTATCTGTGAAGAGGATGAACATTTTACTTATAAGCCTGTCTGAATCACAAGCTTTCTTACTGTTATAAATACACAGAGAGTGCAGTCATTAAGACTGATACAATGAAAACTACACACTTACAATTCCATTGGACATGAGGTGGTGCCAGTGGAGTTTTCTACCACTGTGATTCTTTTTATAAAATTCTTCGACCTCTGGGATGAGATCTTCTAATTCCGTGGGCAGCGAGACAAACACTTTTTCAGAACTTCGGGACCAGGCACCAGCATTTAAAATTTTAATATTCACAGAGTCAGCTGTAAGATGATATTGGATGATATGAATCTCCAGGGGTAACAGATAGATAAACCAAAATGTTTTGGGTTTTTTTCCTACTCTCAACACAATTATGAAGGATTGAATTTTCAGAAAGTTGCAGGGTGTCTACCCACTTAAACATTAGGGCACTCTATGCATCACTGGCTTTCTGCCAGCAGCACTGATCAAAACCTGTTTTTTCTCTTGCTGCTGCAAAGCTCCTTAAACACTGGTGCACCTTTACAGCTGATGCTTATAAGCACTATCAAGGGTTTTCAGCATGGCAGGTCCAATGCTTGACGTTCTTCAGCCTCTCTCATCAGTGAAACAATCTCAGAATGTGAGTTATGCTCTCCATAGTATGCATCCAGCTCTCCTGCTGGCAGATGAAGGAGGAGCACAGCATGGAGCACTAGAAGAATGATGAGGGCATAAAAGGAGGTAGTTCAGGCATTCAACTGGCTGATGCCAATTCAAGCCCCTGCTTGCAATTTGTCTACATGCGAAGGGAATCTTTATCTACTGCTGACAAGAAAAACCCAAAACAACTCACAGAGTGATACAGCTCTAATATCAACTGCAGGAGAAAGCAGGGTCTACAGACAATTCCAATCTAGGGGCAACAGAGCCATGGAGACTGTGTTCAACCTGCAGTTGACATTATTTTTAACCTAAGATTTAACTGAGCTATTTTTCACTAAGAGAAATAAAAAGTAGCAAATAATTTGAAAACAATACCTGGTAAAGCAAGCTTATTATTTTTGTGCATTTCTTTGAAGGCCTGGTTCAAGTCTTCAGAGACTTTGATATCCTGGAACATTCTAGCCAGCTTGTTTACATAGTCTGCTGGCATTCCCACTTCCTACATAAACAGAACAGTAAATATGACACAGAAAACAATGAACAAAAATTTTATGTTTAAAATAATAAGCTCGAATAAATAAAAAGCATAAAGAAGGAGACTGGTATCATCGCTTTACAGTAATAGTGAATCTGCAATACAATATAAAGGGTTTTTTGCATAAATCATAAGTAGTTATCCCTTAAGGGCATATGGTGATTCTTTTAAAGAAATTCAAGTGCTGAAGAACATATGCATGCATTAAAGAATCCATGACTTCTGAAATTTGAAGGAATGTTTCAGGCATGCAAATAAAATTCAAAATTAGAATGCATCTCAAATTATTTACATAATTAAATAAGTACACTGCATTTTGCTTATATGGAATATATGAAACCTTTAGATAATTGTATGTGAAATATTTTAAAATCTGTCATTGGCACTACTAAAGAAGATTTAAAGAGTTTTATTTCCACGAAGTACTGTGATAGAAGGGAAGTATTAAGATGCCCTGAGGGGCCTGCTATTAAAGATAAAACTCACCTAAGCAAGAAAGATATTTAAGTTCAAGAGTGGAATATTAACTAATCACAAGCATGAGACACAACCAAAGAGAGATGTGATGCTACTTACTCTGAGCCATTCCACCATATTCTCCTCAATTTCACTATCAGCTGATATATCTAATATCAGACGTCTTGTTAAGTGAGCTTTGTGATATCGCATGAAAACATCTTTATTCTGTACATATTTAAGTACCAAAAGCTGTCAAAAACAGAGTTAAACATATTTATTTGCACTGTCAGCCAGACGAGTCTCAATGCTGATCTGATGGCGCTGCAGACTATGACTAGAGAAAGGCTACTTGACATTGCCTTAAGAGCAACTGTGTTAGCACTATCATAGGCATCAGCAATGAATGTTTCATAATATCACACCTTCAATTTCTTAATTTTTCAAACATCAAGAAATTATCTTAAATCAAAGAAGACATTGACACAAGTATGTGAAAATCCCCTGTATTATTTTCTAGACAAATATCAGTTATTGTAATATGTTACAGTCCAATATATGCATTAATTTAATATACCAATTTTGTAAACCAACACAGAAGACATGAAACACCGAATGATTTACAATATTCAATACACACACACACACTTCATAACAAAATAAACTCTTTTCTCTACTATCACACCCCACAAAACTGCTTTTGAAGATCAAGGCCTCGACCCACATAAGGAAATAATTTAAACCAAATAAATTCCTTCTTCAAAATAATTGTGAAATAAAAAGCAAAAACATACCACTTCTTTAAGCTTTGCTTCAATTTCTTCAGAGGTTAGTTTTTTGCTTAGTGGTGTTTTTCTTAGCAACATGTCACAGTAATTAGCAAGAAGCTCAGGGCATTTGGATTCAGGCTGTGTTTTCAATCCAACACTAGATAAAAGAAGAACAGTGTTTCTTCAAACCATACAGCATCCTGCTATTCTGGAGTAGTCACATTGTTAACAAGACAGACTGCTCTCTCCTGATCCCCTTGGCAAGGATCCTGGTGGTGAATTTATATCCTCGTTAAACTAATGAAAAATTAGGGATTCTTTCTTCTTGAAAGAATAAATACTGCCAAACAGTTTGAGAAAGCTTCCATAGCTTATTTTAACTAATTACAATTTTAGAACTGTAACAATGAAGTATACAGGTGAAACTACAGTGTGAAACAACAAAATATTGTATGAAAAGAAATATTCCAGTAAAGAATTAACAAATGCTAGAGTAAAATGTTTCACTCATCTCCTCAGTATGCTGTAATGAGTTCTCAAGAACAGCCTCCTGCACCACACTTCACAGACTGCACAGACTCAACCCATCTAACACATAGTAACAGGGTAAAGTTATTTCATCACAGCTATGAAGGATGGACTAACAGCTAGGAGATTAAATGCAGACTAAAGTTGAACAAGATGCCACAGTAGACAGATTGTGGTTCTTCAAAATTCATCAAACACAGGTCATGCTCCAAACCCGTGTCTAGACTGGTGCATAAAACCAAATGGCAAGGACCAATCCCTATTCCTAGAGTCAGATGGCACCAACCTGACTGCTACTTAAGGGCCCACAGCAAGCTCAAGAATCCATTTTACTTGCTCATTATTTCAGCCTCTCATCAGTTAGTATAGACAGAGCTAACACTCCTCAGACAACTTGTCCTTCTTTCAAATTCATGAAGCAGCTTGCAGGCTAATGTCTTCTGCCCTCCTAAAGGCCATTTGAAGTACAAGCAGATCACAAGTCTTTTGGCTGTTACAGAAAACTAAGCAAGATGAAGTTTCATTTTGCTTAAACCAGGCTGCATATCTAGACAACTTCAAAGTGCTTGGGAAGAAGAATGCTGAACAGAAGATCATCACAATTACAGTGGTTTCTAAGAAACCACTAGGCTGGGTTCACTTTAGGAGTGAAACAGTTTGAACCAGGTATCAATTGGGATGGTCTGAGAGGAAAGGAAACTATTAGAAGATACCTAAGAAACTCCTCTACCTTACCTACATCTGTGCAAAGTATACAAAGCAGGGATCCAGTCTTTTGTGACAGCATTCCTCCAATAAATACAAGGAGAAAGACTAATCCCTATTCTGGCTTGCCATTATCCAAAATCAAACCCAGAATATGAACCAAGACACTGGACAGATATTTATAACCATCCACCCCTAACTAGAAGCAATTGGAAAGAGAAGCTGGCAGCTCAGCTACAAAAGCTTTGTTTCCATTGTAAATCAGATGACAAACATATATATAAGCCATCCCAAGCACCTAAATAAACACAAGTTCCTACTCAAGTGGCACATCACACAGTAAATGTTAACAATCAATAACTGACTGCTACCTTCTCTTGGCTGAGTTAGCAGAGCAGGCTCTGTAAGCATGGTCCTTCTTCTTGAGTCACGCAGGTCTGCCTAATCTACTGGAAGTTGTTTAAACTAACCTGGTTAATCCTGCACTGAAACAAAAATGCAACAGCTGGACAGGTCACACTCACAACTGGCACAAGAGGAGGTGGAAAACAGCTTGTGGATGGTTACACCTTAATCAGCTACAGTTATTCCCAAGATTACTGCCTCATTTTTCCCCAGGACCTTTGCTGAAGTTGTGGCAGAGTTATACAGCTGAGGTTTTTGAAATTAGTAATCCAGGAAACCATTAGGAACTTCAGCTAACAAACTGACTCATGGTGTAAAAGAACAGATCCCCAAATACTACAAATAAATTTAAGTTGAACCAGGCTGCTATTCACTGATCCGCTTCCACACAAAGAGAGTCTTACCAGAGGTCAATAAGCAATCTGAAATTCCATAATGCAAATAACACAAAGCCCTTTTAAACACAACATTACTTTTTGAAGAGACATTTTAAAAACCTTGATTCACATAAAGTTTACACGGCTTACCCCTTTTGCTTCAATGGCAATTCAAGTTTAAATATTGTAGCATCATTCACAACTGCTTTGTATGCCTGAAAAATAATTAGATTATTGGTGCTTCACTCCATTTCTGATATGAATTGCAAAGGTTTTCTCTCTTTTTATACTACTGTAACATGGAATTAATTCAAATTTTTTTATTAGCCTAAAGTTTGCAGATTCTTTTTTCAGTTTGAGAGTTCAAATTCTATGACTCAATTTCCCACTAAACTGATGTCTTCCTCTTTTCCACTAACATACTAGTTTCCTTTAAACAACAACTTAGCAAGGGATTACATGGAGCAAGTTGCACATCTGAAGTCATGACACAAATACAAAGTAAATTCCAAAGACAAATTATTGATGAATTGGACATCACAGTTCTCAATACAAATATCATCTTCTGATGTGCTCTACACCATTACAAAGCTGAAGATATGCAACTTTATGCAGCTGTAACAGAAATTGAAAGCTCCTAAATTGGTAGTAAGTTTCATCAATATTTTAGTTTGCACATTTAATAGAGCTTCTAAATTTAACAGTGAATGCACACAAGGGTTTTGGAGACATCATAACACAAATTGCAACAAGTCTTACAGTGAACAAAAGACCAGCAGAAACACATACCTTATCTCTGGCAGTAAGAAATCTTGGATCATCTTGAAAAGCTTCTTTAACCAACTTGCTAAACCGATTAAATAGCGTGAGCAATTGCTCTACATACTTCTCAGAATCCTAAAGAGGCAAAAATCAAATAAAAAACCAAGGCTCCACAGAATTCAGGGTGAGCATACACGTGATTTCCTAATTAGTAAAAATGCTGTACCCTAAAAAACCTGCATACTGTGAATTTATATTTTATCTTCAGTCTCTGGATTGAAGAGCTCTACAGCATGTAGGCTTAAACACAGACTTTCAGGATAGTATTTCAAATATAGAAAAAAAAATTTAAAACCCCTAACTTTCTAATACTATACAGTAACATTTTATTTTAAAGAACGTTTTAAGGATCAATAAAAGACAAATGCCACATCCTAACTGCTGCAGCCATCTAGGCCTCCTAGACCCTATGGAAAAAAAGATGATAAAAAGCTGAAAAAGTACAGTGGAGAAAAAACCCTTATAATTTCCACACTGAACAACCACTCTTACATTGAAAGTAAATGTCAAATTTCATCAAGAAGTTATAATTCTGGGAAAATTTATTAGGCTTTTTAAATTAAGATTCTAGCATAATTGTGTTGTATGAACAACCCATGCACTTAATTTATAACTTTTATGCCAATTAGATTCCCTTTTTAAAGCCACAACTGAAAACAAAAAGTAAAAAGTTATCCTAAAGACATTTAAAATTTCCAGTGGACCAAAATTGGACCTCTAAACACAAATCTTAAAAATTATTTCCATTCATGCATTTGTCCCAAAAATAGACAATATTTAACTTCTGGAAAGTTGTTTTCCTGTTGTTATTTTACTAAAACCCAATACACTTACAGTAGTAATAGTTTCAGCAGCTGCTACCATGTCTGCAAGTCCAGCACTAACAATATGTTCTTCCAAATCCTTCAGCATAGGCTCTATGCCATTTGGAACTTTATCCATCAGTGAAAACATTAAATGCAACTCTGAAAGATACAAATACCAATGAAGCCACCAGTCAAAGACATCTATAAAACCCAAATATACTGTATTTCTCCTAGACATGTCTCAAGTGGAACATTAAATACATGAAGAACGGATAATCCAATTCATCTCTTAAAAAGAAAGATGTCTTGAATAATGTTCTAATTCTGGTCCCACAAGAAGATTCTTTTGAAGGCAAAAAAAAGGTATGTTTATTGCAATGTAATACCTGCTTATGCATATAGTATCTTATATAGTATGCTAATGCATACAGTATCACAAGCTTGAATAAGCCCCCCCTAGAACCAATGCCAGTTTGGATTAAGTCCAGGTTCTAACACATTGCCTTCAAATCCCTGGCAAGAATGTCTCTAATTTGGAAGCCTACAGAAGTTTATGCAAGAAACTGTATGGATTCAAGACATTTTTGTATTTTAAACTAAAGCCAAACACACCTGTCTTTGTGTATGTTTCAATACCACTGACAATGCTTTGTTTTATAAAAGCTTGCAAAGTTCTGAAGTAACCAAAACTGACTAACGCAAACACTGAACTCTTCTTCCCAAAGAGTTTATTTAGTTTTTCGGAAAGTTACCAGTACAAAAACTTCAAAATGTGATGCTTTATTTGTCTACTTTTTTGTGAAGATATTTCAGTACTGCTTAAAAAAATAAAGAGGATATTGAAACATCAATAATCATCTTGACAAAGCTGTCCACAAAGAACACTGGGATTATTAAGGTCACCAGGTTGTTGTAAAGAGACCACAGAGAATTGAACTCAGCTTGGCAAAGGACTTTGCTTCATGAAGTAGAACAAACGGACACTTTTTTTTTTGTCAGAAAACAAAATTTATAGATTCACTTAGTTCCTTAATGTTATGTCTACTGTGAAAGTGGAAAAGTCAGAGGCCCTGCCTTTGCTTCCTTTTCTGCATTACTTTTGTCAGCAACAAACATCAAGATCCCATCACCAGTGAGGATGAAATATGCTACCGTTATCTGCACCACAACAGCTGCTGCAGAAGCAAATAGAAAAGCATAGAGAAGAAAAGAAATCCTTTTAGAACACAACAAAGCAAATTAGAGAATGAAAACTACAAACAACATTGAATAAGAATTTGCAATGGTACTACAGACAACTCATAATGGGCTGAATTCCAGGAACCAGAAAAAAATGTAGTTGGAGGCATTCTCAGTGCAATTTAGATCTGCTATAACAAATGGCACTGTTTTACATACAAAAAGTCCAAAATGCTCAACTTTTACTGGATCTTTTAATCTAGGCTTTTAAAAAGAGTGAGAAGAAGGAAGAGATGGCAGAAAAAGAGAAACAAAAATATATGTTAAAGGGCTCTACATCTGTTTCTGTACAGTAGTGATGCCATAAATATTAAAAAAATCAGTGGTTTCTCTTAAGAATCAGTAGCAAAGGAAGACTCCAGTTGCATCCCTAGGACTGCAGAATCCAAAAACCTATAAATTCTTCAAAGACAGATTTCAAAGTAACAAAACCAAAAGGAGTATTTTACTGGAACTTCTCTCAGAATATATCATGACACTGAAGAATAAAGAAATCAATGCAGTAGTTGCAGGGGCACTTAAAGTCTGCTTTCATTCTGTATTCATGAAAGCCAAGCATACTTTTCATTTCTGTTGCACTTCAGGAATAAAATTTAGGCCTCACTTCCCCAGTACTATAAGCAAACAAGACCACAGAAAGTCAGTTCTGAAGTGTTTGCAAGCTATGATATTTTTGATAGATTTTAGTTGAAAAATATTATTCCTTCCTGTCTTTGCACAGCATGGAAATATTACTTAACATAATAAGAGTATGTGCACAGCTCATAACCAAAAATCCCCACCAAAACAGCCCTTTTTTGTCAGTTCTGTTTAAGAAAGAAAACATCACTGAACTCTTTGGGGCAGATAATATCAGCAAGTCAGATGAGTAAGCAAAGCAGAGCAGAGCAGAGGACACGATCAGATGTATCCATTCCTATGCATAGCTCCAGTCTTTAATTATGTTTCAGCCATCTGCACCTGCACCCTTCACTGAAGCATTTGAAGCAGTTCTTACAGACTGAGCAGAAGTGCCCTGCAACCACAGGACAGCCACAGCCACAAGAGAGGGCTCTGGGAATAGCTCAACAGGTTTCTAAAGAAAGGTCCTTGGGCAGATGAACCCTTCTGAAGCTCTGTGTTTACATAAGCCTCCTGCATTCTCCCAGAGGCTGTAACATATACTCATAAGAAGTTTCACTGCTTTCTACATTTAGCTCTGGGCAATTGCCAGAAATCATGCTGCTAGATGAACAGATCAGTATGACATAGTTTTGAGGTCAAATATTTTCTTAAATGCTGGCTTTAGAAGTAAGTATTTTCTGTAATATTCTAAGTCATAAAACAATTTTCTTATTTCAATAGAAATGAAAACCTCTGAAGACATTAGTAAATATTCCCTGGCTGCAGGATACCAAGACCTCAAAGAAAAATTAACCTGTGATTTCAGTTTGGTTTCTTTTTTTCATTTTTCCTACCTGAATTACAACATTTTAATGACATATTTAGTTTGTTTTATCATAGTAACTTCTCAAATTCTGGCAGCAGAGTCAAAAAAATCTTCTGAAAACTTTCAAGAGGCATGCAGAGCTAACTTTCAATACTCACACTGATATATTGGCCATAAACCCCCATGAACAGCTTGCAAAGATTTTGGTCATTTGACCTACAGGTTCTGCATCAATAATCAGAATAAGAAAATTTTCTCTCTGCCTTTCAGAAAAAAAATCTTTTATAAAGAGATGTTTCACTTTTTTCCCAGATGTAAAGAGGTAGTGGGGTGAAACAAAGAGGAAATGCTTGTATCTGGAGTACTCAAAGACAAAGTAAAGACATATGGAGCATTTACCAGAGTTGGTAAATATAATGCAAGTAAGTGTAGGAAAAAATAGAGAAAAAAGAGCACGAAATATTTTCTTTGAAACAAGATTAGAGCTATTCACTCATTCAAATTAAAGTATTGTGTACATCAATTTCAAAAGTGATAGGAAAAAGTATGAATCAATGATGGTAATTTTTTGTGGGATTGTTCATGTGCAATAATATTTTCATAGGAAGAACTACCACCATCTATTAAAAACAGTAATTTGATATATCTACACACAAATCTATTTTTATGCAGTTCATGCAGGGTTCACCCTGCACTGCTCTTGAAACTCCACTTACTTTCTGTTTCATTTCGTTTGATCATGCCTTGGCATTCAGCTAAAATAGTCTCTTTAAAAGATGTCACCAGGGCATTGACGCAGCACTCCATGAGCTGAAATACATTAAACACAGGATTAGCTCAAGCAGCCACCTGAACCGAAGTCTGATGTGTCTTCAGTTTGCCATGACACAAAAACCAACCTGTTCTCAACAACTAGCTCTACAAAACAATTAACTCATTCACTGACTCACAAAACTACGTGCAGTTTGAATAGAATCTATACAGGAACCATATTTCTTCAAAATGTTTAGGTTAGTAAATGTGGCAAAGTCTCCTCCAAACCACTAAGGAGCTTAGTATTTCTTTCTACTCGTTTCTCTCAAGGGAGCCACCACTTTTGGAACAGTAACTACCCTACTTCATTTCCAAGTATACATCCAAGAGCTAAGAATAGTTCTCATTCCAGCATACCCTATTTGGACCAGGCTGGATGGCTTGAACAAGGCATTAGATCTAGAACAGAAACTGCCTGTACATGTCAGGACCATCTCTCCTTTGTCAGCCTCTTTATATGGGCTACAATTGATACCTGGGCAAAATGAATGACTCACAGCTTAACAAAAGGTGTAAAGCACATTTTGATCCACTTCAAAAAATGATCAGATTTAAAAGGTATTTATTTAAAAGAACCTGTTTCCTGAACTAATTTCAACACAGACAATTATGACATATTCATTGTATTCTTCCTCTAGAATCTGAACTGTGTAAAAAACTTGCTGAAGAGGGAAGAAGGGGAAGGAAAAAAAGAAAACTCATCTTTTATATTAAATGGCCATATTTCAGCCTAAGAGGGAATATATTACAGCTTTAATGAAATTTCTATTGCTCCTTTTGACTGCAATGAACAATAACTCTTTCAGGTGTTCTAAAGGAGCACAGAGAAACCGTTAGCCAAACAGATTTGACAGTTGATTTTCAAACATGATTCTCATCCACTGTTAACCATAGGGAAAAATCCACCATACCTAACTCAAAAGGAAAGAACAAAAGCCAATCTGAATAAAAAACTGCCTTTCAGTTTTAGCTTTTGATCTACATGTACTATTTAAACATTTTCAGAAATTGTAGATTACCAGATTGGAAAGTAATACATGTTTTTGCAACAAATAATTTAAGATTTGCAAACACAAAATAAACAGTTCCAATTTAGTGTTATCAAATAATACTGTAACACATAACTAAAACCTACAGCACTATGTAACTAGGAAATACACAATTTTTCTACACATTATACTCACTGCTTCTACAGAGTTACATTCACGTCTTGTTTCTAAATATCGTAGTGCTCTTTTCTCTTCTTCTTTTAGTTTAGCATCTGCCTGTGCAAAAGTAGAACAGCAATCATTTTAAGTACTAACACATTCAGTACAAAGTTACAACAGAATTTTTACTTACATATTTCATATAATTCTGTACACCGTTTTGTTGTAAATAAGAAGGAGCCTGTGTTCTATAAAATCTCTCTGTTGAATCCAAATATGCCTTTTCAAAGTTATCCCGATATATCTGAAGTTTATCTTCAGGATTAGAACAAAGGTTAACTGCAAAGAGAAAGTCCAAACTTACTCTCAAGTCTTGGAAATTTATGTGGCTAATAATAAGCAAATTTCAATGAGAGAGTGAGACTCATATTAAAAGGTTGCATTGAACAATCTGAAAGATCTGATAAATGGCCTCTGATCACAAAGGTAACCAAATTTGGCCAATCTTTGCTCCCAGAAACATTCAGATCCACTATGGCAAACCGGAAAAAAGTTTCATACTTAGTTCCAGCACTTCAGACATTCGAACTTGGTAACCATAAATACACATACAACTGCAAAATTGTAAGGAAGGAATAAAAAAGCTCAGAATGGTGCCTAATAAAGTGAAAAGTTCTCCACCTGACTGAGCAAAAAGCTTCTCTTAGATACTGTTTCTGAAATCACAATGTCTCCATTTTAGACTTTTTTCCCTGTTTTACAACAATGGAGACAGTAAGCTTATTGCAGTGCTTTGCCCTATTTGAAAGAGAGTTTCAACTGTTACAGAGAAATGAATAGTCATTAAATGGAATATGCTTTAAAAAAAGTTAGAATTTGACTTCTATAAAAAGCTGTCTTAAAGAATATTAGCCACAAGTTTAGGTCAACAGGCTGGAAAGCTTTCAAAAGTAGCAGGCAATGGTGAAATATCACAAGTTTCAGATACACAGATCTGTTCTGCAACAAGGAGAGACTCAAACTCTTAAATGTAGCCTGTTTAGCATTTCTTCTTCAAACCATCTGAAGAATCAGAAACAGTATATAAAGGAGTACAGACACTGCTGTTGTACAGTTATATGTGCAACCCCAAAAAGTCAAAAAGTACTCTTCTCTTTGAAAACATTGATTTTGCAGTAACTGATACACAGGTAAATTACTTAAAACCTGAAGATTATAAACAAAAATTAATTGGTACCATGAATCAACAAGCACAACAAAAAAAATCAATACAAAATGCTGAGATAATTCCAACCCTACCACCACAACCGCCAACTTTCTAGGAAGAAAATTCATTTAATAAAGTGAGGAGGCAACAGGTCAGTGTGTGCAAGACGTACCATATGATTCTCGAACTCCAATAACGAGCTGGGAGTCAAAAGCTTCTCCTAGCCTTTCAGCATGAACTAGCTTCATTGCACTGTCCTGAAGTCTGTTTTTTATATTTGAAAATATGGATTCATTCCATGTATCTAGCATGAGCTGCATATCAGGAAGAAAAAAAACAACAACCTGTTAGAAAGGTACACAGAGACCTAAGTTCGTGCAAAAAAGTACAAGACATCAGAAACAGAAATCAAGCAATTTATAATGTAACTTTCAGGTCCAACACAGCAGTTCAGCTATGTTAGAACTTGATCTTGCTCTGAACTTGTTATACAAGTCATATTCAGCTCACATTCTAAATTTACTTTATGTAACTGGACAGCTAAGGGGATCAGTCTTGAATTCATGTATTCACTCCATAATTCTCTATTACTTCTACAGTTCTTCATAATCAGTCAAGTAACCTTCCAGCAATACATTGTGTCAGGAGTTGCTATATCAGGGGTACTTTTGAGGCAAACACCCAAATATAATTCACCATTTGGCAGGCATAGTCTTAGACAAAACTAAAACCTCAACTAACACCAAAGTTACATGAAGAGAAAGACTGATGGATTTATATTGCATTTATCCAACAAGAAAGTTCAGCATGCACATAATGCGTCTGTAGTTTATAAAAAACTCCATATCTCATCTAAGCACTGCAAAGTTTTAACATTAGTTATGGAGGTTCTTATCAAAATCCTCATCACTCAATGTGCCCCTTTATACTCCATTGTGAGATTTGTTATTTTTGGTGACTGCTGCATCACATGAGGACTGGTGCCACAAACTCTCTGGCAGTACAGCCCACTCACCTTTCGAACAATGCTGTCTTCCACGTTGGACTTCTTGTTGCTGCCCTGCTTGCCCATCAGAGTGATCTCCAACTGACAGAAGGGCTTGGGCAGAATGTCGCACTGGGTGAAGAACTTGCGCCACTCCACGATGTAGGCTTTGAGCAGAGCTGTATCATCCTGGTGACTCAGCACTCTCTGCAGGTGGGGCGAGCAGAGGAGGCAATTTACAAATCAATTTATGCACAAAACATGGGCTCTGTTTATGCTGAAAATAACTCTCCATATAAAACTCAAATATACACATATATCAGACTAACGAAGTCTACATATTGAAGTGCCATTTGGTTTCTTGAAGCAGTTATTAACCCATGTCATATGGGTCATTTCTAAAGGGCAAAGAAACACAGCAGTAAAAAAGTACACAGTAAATTCAAATTTTCTAAATTAACCTCTTTTTCTCTTATTAAGTCATGTGCAAGTAAAAAATTAAAATCTTTGGTCTAAAGGCATGTGCTGGTACAACCATAGAAAAAAAAAATAAATCAAAATAAACCTGTAAGGACTGTGTTATATTCTATATACTGACAGGTTTTGATTCAATGGCACCTACTAACCTTTCATTAGACCCAGACAGATAGTTAACATCTATATTTTATTAAATCCTGAAAACTTAACTACATTGTACACTGGCTATCATAATGCCAAAAAAAAAACCTGTCTATCAAATAACAGCCAACACAAACCACATCAAAAGGCCTCAGCTCAGCATAGCATTTATGCATATAAGCAGGTAAGCTGTGGAACTTAAAAAACAACATTTATATGCCTGGTTTTAAAAAGGCCTCTATAAAAAACTATCTTCCTTGAAGGGAAGCCTTAGTGGTGTAAATCACTTCACTTAAACGATAAAATGAAAGTTTACAGAATTTTTCTAAACCACTGTCATAGGATACTTTAGAATTTTCTTTCATTTCACAACTCCCTCTTTTAAATTCCTCATAGCAAAAGATGTCTTCTGTAGTATGTGTTACAAACACAAGAACTTCCTTTGAGTCTATTGACAGTGCCACTCATTTGGAGGGAAGCCCATAAAACTGGACAGCTGAGCTTGCTGAGTGGATAGCACAGATATTTGTAGTACACTGTACATATGGCTTCTTTTAAAGCCATCCATGAACATGTCAAAATAGCACTGAAGCTATATAAACATTTTTTTTCTGACAGTAACTTATGAAAAATTCTGCCTTTAGAAGTTTTCAAGTAGAAGAAAATGCCATAAGTACTGTTGGATAAACAAAAATAATGCTGTGTTTTGGTTTTTTTTTTAATATACCATAAAAATCACTGCCCATCTCAGCTTCAAGCACTGTGAGAAAACAATGAGCCAGGCAAACGCTCAAGGCTCTTCTTTTTGTCAGTAGAAATTTGCAGGGTAATTACAATCTCCAGGACATCACAAAATTTCCAACAAAAAAGCAATGCATTTAGATCCAACAAAAGTCAGAATTATTTGGCTATTTTTCTAACAATGTGAATAAAAGTTATAAAACATTAATAACTTACTGCTTGTGCCTGTTTAATAAAATCAAGGATGTCTTCCTTCAGAGCTTGATGGATTTTTGCTGGACCTTTATCATCCCACAAACACACTGCATGTACATCTCTAGAAAACAATTTATCCACCTTTTAGTAACAGCTACTCAAAATTTAATGCTGTAATGTACAAGGCTTTAACAGTCATGATTTCAGCATGTCTAAGAAATTGATAAACTTATTACCTGCTGTTGTTGAACAACACATAACTAGATCCCAGTGAGGTATGGGAGAAAGCATGTTTGGGGAAGAGACTGAAGCTTTAAGAGAAGTCCTGGAAGCAAGTAACTGCAACCTATCTAGCAGAAGGCTATGGTCAAGGAGACGTGTAAGACAATTCTGTTTTCAGTACCTATTCAATAATCCATATTAAATTAAGGACAATTTTTAAAGCTTTTCTTTGACAAAGACAGACATCACTTGCCAGTAACAGCATTACTACTCAGCCCATGCTACTCTAAAATGCTATCATTAACATGCAGCCTTCCCTGACAGTTTCACAGTCCAAGCGCTACAAATCCTACAAAGGCAATAGACCCGTCCTCGTGAGAAATCTGAACCCTGAGGGATCAGGTGATTGAAAAGACGATTCAATTAGTTTAAAAAGATCCCTCAAAACATTTCATGGTAGTGGTAGTATTTTCAAGTGAAACACTACTGGAGAAAAGTTACTAAACAGCACTGCAAAGCAAAATTCTGAATTTTAGTTGTCATTCCAATGAAATTTTTCCTACCTTACAGCTCAGCAAGTGTATCTTAACTCCAATTCTTTCCATACTGAAGACTAAATAAAGCAAGTTACACTCCTAACCATATGTCATACATAACATGGCTCAGCAAGCCTTTTTTTGACTCATTACCATCCCCTGATTCTTCTTCCACCTTTCAGTAACAAGGCCACATCTCTGCAGAAAAGCACCCCTATAGTCTAAAGCTATTACTTTGTTCCTATTAAATCAATACACTTATTTCAATACAAAAGCAGCTTTTTTAGTTTAACCAAAAAGACAAAACTCACAAGTTGCTTTGACACAGATTAAAGGTGCTGGGCCAAGGTTTCAGAGGTCTAACTCAACTGGTGAGACTTACACAACATTCACAGGCAGAAAAGGTGTTACTGTATTTAGAATGTCATTGTTTCCTGACAGCGGTGAAAAAAAAGCAGTACCGGATAATTATACTCACAGGGCATGTAGAAGACACCTACAGATTTTGCATTTTTATTAAGAAGCTTAACAAAGAACACTGTCCAAAAATATACATCTAGGGAAGTGGGATCCTTTACCTCAATAGCTTTAATTTAGCCATGAAGTTACTTAAGTTCTATTCAATAACTCAGCTACAGAAAAAAACAATAAATATGAAGTTTTCATTCCAATGCAGAATTACTGAACTACTTATTAAAAATTAAAGCAATGACTCAGAACTGAATTTTTACCTTAACTATACCATGTCGGGCAACTACTACAGCAGAGGCATTGTAAGATATTAAAATCCACCACATGTTAGATTACCTTTCCTCTTGGCTGGCAGAAAGATGTGACAGGTGCATTAAACTGGGTGTTAAAAAGTCATGACATTGTCCCCGTCAAAAAGAGCAGTAAAGACAGAGTGCCACAAGACTGCATTTGAAAAAAAAAACCTACTATTTTGACAGATTTTAAAAAGCAAAAGAATAGTCCGCAGATTTCAATTACGACTACATTAGAGGGCAAATAACTCCATTGAGACAAAGATTATTTTAGATATACTTTTGATGTTTCTTTTGTAACTCACTTCCATATCATGTTTTCAAAAATCACACAAAAAATTATCACCTAAGCTTCTGGAAAAGCAGCTTCTTGCTTTTTGGAAGGAAGAAAATGGCAGGGTTTATAGAAAGCACATTAATACCAACATTGTCTGAAAAGTCTTATATTTCATTCTTAGGGTAAGAAAGTATTCAAATTAATCTGTTAATTCAAGTTAAACTGCACCACCCTGTTACTTCAGTTATTTTAGAAGAAAGCCATTCAAATCAGAATAATGTAACTTTCAGCAAACTGCCTTTAAATTAATTTACTGACACAGCAGTAAACATTTTCTCTCTAATTCTAACAAGAAGTTTGTGGGCAGGTACAAAACTTGTTTACAGAAGTCAAAAGCGCTGCTTTTCTTTCTCCACCCTATTAACAAAGACCTGAATCCCAGCAAAGCTCAACTTCTGCAAACTTAAGAGTGATGTTGGCACACTTACCCCTTAATAAAACTTAAACTAGTATTTTTGTTCTGTGTTTCCAAACAATGTGTGTCACATAAGTTCTGTGTGTATCAGGAGTAGCTCAGTAACTGTACTTCTGTCATGCAGAAGGATGCAAGATACAAAACAATTACTTACGAAAACAGATCGAACCATTGCTGTTTGGTGACCGACTCCTGACGAAGAAGTTTCAGAACGATCGGGCGCATGAAATCCCATTTGTCTTCAAACTGAAGTGAACCTTTATTCTAAAAGAAACAACAAAAAAGTAATGTTAATAAACCAGTGTCTTACTTTGTCTTTAAGGATTGCAGTTTATACAGTTAACATAAAAATATTTTCTCAGGTGTTCCTCATAAGCCAGCACTTAAGCTACACTACCACAGCTGAACAACACTTTTCACAATAAGTATTATTTTAAGAAGTGACAGAGCTATTATTTGGTTCAAAGAAACTGCCAATTTCTTCATTTAATCACTGCATTAGCTACAAGCAACGTTCTAGCAAGCATTCTTCAGCTGTTATTGCAGTTATGCACAGACAACACGGATGGTATTTGGGGCAGCTTCACTGTTCCAACCAAGATAGCTGCGATGGAAGTCAGGCGGGCAGTTGCAAACCTGTCTCGAGTAAATTCCCCTGACCAGAATGGCAGCCAGGAGTCAGGAATGGTATTGTGGGTGCTACCACGTACCTTTTTTCTCTCACTGTGCAACTGGCATCAGCAGCAAAGAGGGAGGAAGGAAGCAGAGTAACGCAGGAGCTGCTGCATCGCAGACTCTCTTCCTGTGGGTTAATTGGCCACAAGACCAAGACTACCAGTGGTGTAGATAAAAATTATTTACTCCATGATGAAAATTCTAATCCCAGGTGGACTTTCCAAACTTATGATACAAATTAAGAGGAAAAGTAAAGAAATGAAGCGTTCCCATATAATTCTGATTATTCTGAAAAATCTCACCACAGTATCCAGGCTAACTTCCATTATTTAAAACAGCCAAACAACACAACAACTTTGAGAGAAAAACAGCAGTTCTACCACAAATGTTGTGATTCTCTTTGCTTAAAGCTCCACATTCTAAAAAGAGAAACCTGCAATTAAAAGAATACACTGATTGAGAGTTCTGTGGCAGAAAGACTACTGCTTCAGTTATCTGCAGGGCTACGTTCCAGTGCACTGTTTACTTCTGAACAGATCATTGTCTTGGCTAGAAATACTACATTTGACACAATTCACTTCAAATAGAGCAACTAACACAGTCTAACTGCTTTAAATTCTCATAAGTGCACTGTTCTGCAACTAACATCTCTTCAGATAAACAAGTACAAGCAGCACACCATGTTCCCTCAATCACCTCCCTCTGATTACTTTCTACGTGGAAATTTACAATTAAATCTGTTATTTAGAATAAGCAGAGTTTGGCAACCATATCCGCTGGTGTCCTCAAGTAACGATACCTCATCTTCAAGGTATAAAGATGCAACAGGCACCACAATAACTGTTTTTAAAGCCACAGCATCTGAAGGCCTTACAGCATTGTGGTAGGTACTGAACACAGCTTTCATGGAATCAGCCCCTGTTGATAAAGTTTATAAATCTTTCAACATAAAAAATAAAAAATTGTTTGCCTATTCAGAGACAGTTTTACCTATTCTTTCCCAGTGCAAAAAAAGAAAATTTGAATGCATCATCTTTGAAAATCATCAACTAAATGCTTCCCCTATATAGAACCAGCTTTACTATTATTTCCTAATGTTTGATGCATTGCTCTAATCTTTGCTAGTCCTCTGAAATTTGTTAGCTTCTACTTGCAGATACTTCTGTTCCAAGTCCCTCTTGGAATGATAATGAACATAAAATATCAGCTACTGAACATTTAGAAGTTCCAGAAAAGGCATTATAAAAAAGTAAAAGCAACTTCCTTACAAGTTTTCCTTTTGAATGAAACATCAGAGAAGACCCCTTAAGTTTTTGGAACAGATAAAAAAATCTGTTCTGCAATTATTGAGAAGTGCAATTCTGCCCTTCATCAAAATCAGCTGAAGATAAAACCTGAATGCTCTATCTTTGTGAATAAGATTAGTTTCACTGTAAAACATGGGGAGAAGGAAGACTGCAAACACAACCGTTTATATGATTTAGACTGCAATTACCTACTTAATCCTAAAAAGCACAAATAAAATTCAACTTCAGTTGTAAAAAAATCCTGTGTCCACTTGTAACCAACATCTGCCTACTTAAAAAGAACTCCTCAACTAAAGCTTATCCTGAAATCCCATTAGAGAAGTGTAGAACTTTGTTTCCTATACATAGGAGTAAATTTTTTCCACATTTCCTCCTTTATTCTTTAATTAAGCAGAAGATGAAATAAAATTGATGGATGAAAAATCCTACTCAACTATTCTTTAAGTTCAATAAACAATTCACAGAAATACAGGATAAGCTGAGTTGGAACAATTCACAGAAATATAGGATAAGCTGAGTTGGACCATCAAAGTCCAACTCCTGCTCCTGTATAGGACCATCCTCAAGAGTCACACCATGTGCCAGAGAACACAGTCCTAGTGCTTCTTGAACTCTGTCAGGCTGGTGCTGTGACCATTCCCTGAGGAGCCTGTTCCAGAGCCCAAACACCCTCTGGGTGAAGAACCTTTTCCTGACATCCAACCTAAACCTTCCCTAACACAACTTCAGGCCATTCCCTCAGGTCCTGTACTGGTCACCACAGAGATCAGTGCCTGCCCCTCCTTTTCCCCTCACACAGAAGCTGCAGACTGCAATGACGTCTGCCCTCAGTCTCCTCCAAGCTGAACACATCCAGTGACCTCAGCAACCCCTCATATGGTTTCCCCTCAAGGCCTTTCTCCACCCTTGTTGCCCTCCTTTGGACCCTCTCCCATAGTTCAATGTCTTTTTTATGTTGTGGCACCCAGAACTGCCCCCAGCACTGGAGGTGAGGCTGCCCCAGAGCAGAGCAGAGCAGGACAATCCCCTCCCTTGCCCAGCTGGCCATGCTGTGCCTGATGCCCCCAGGACAGGGCTGGCCCTCCTGGCTGCCAGGGCACTGCTGGCTCATGTCCAGCTTGGCACAGACCAGGACCCCCAGGTCCCTTTGTGTGGCACTGCGCTCCAGCATCTCATTCCCCAGTCTGCCCATACATCCAGGGCTGCCCCATCCCAGGTGCAGAATCCAGAGCTTTCCCTTCCTGATCTTCATCTGGTTGGTGACTGCCCAGCCCTCTCATTTGTCCAGGTCACTCTGCATGGCCTCCCTGCCTTCAAAGGAGTCAGCAGCTCTTCCCGGTTTTGCATCATCTGGGAACTTCTTCAGTGTCCCTTCCAGCCCTGTGTCCAAGTGATTTATGAGGATGTTGAAGAGCACAGAGCCTAAGACGGAGCCCCATGGAACCCTACTTATGACAGGTCTCCAGTCTGACATCACCCAATTCCCTACAATGAACCAGTTGCTCACCCATCACGGGATGTGTTTATCCAGCTGTGGGCTGGACCTTTTTTCAAGAAGGATGCTCTGAGAGACAGTATGGAAAGCTTTACTGATATCAAGAAAGATTACATAAACATCATTTAGGTAGATTTAGGCTTCCATGACATTACAATTTTATACAGTAACTACAGGAAGAAAGGGTGCATTAAATACCACTTATTGTGTGGTATTCCCATTCATTAATTCCATCTCTGTTAGTGCACGACAGAAAACAGATTTTATAGTATAAGAGGAGGTCCAACAGTGGCAATTCGAAGTTGGTACCAAAGTCACACATGCAATTTCCGAGCACTATTTCCTGAGCAATTCTTCTTTCCTACTTTGCTTCCAACCACAGTTCCAAAGGAAAGGTAAACAGAACAGTGAGGCATACCTTTGATGAAATAAAATTACTCCACTTATCAAATCTTCTCTGAAAACACAGACTACAGTTGATAGCCACACCCTGGCTAAGTAGCCATTCTAGTTGTTAAATTTCAATGCTTCGAAAGACATCTCCACTTATGAAATATTTTGTTTTAAAATTCACTTCAGTAAATTTGTTCATAAAGATGTAAAGTTCCATTTTAACACTAAACTTTACTTGAAATACATACTACTTTACACGCTATACTTTTCCCTGTTCTTCACTTCTATGCATAAGTACTTTAACATTACAGATATAACAAGGCAAAGCAATACACCAAGACCTTCATGCTACTCTCCCTCTGAACCTCAGAATGTCTCTGTGGAACCTTCTATGCTGTGTAGTCTCTTTACTTCAGACCACACAGAAATTCAGCCCTGGTCTCTGCCAGACACTCTACAGTACTGTAGAAAAGAAGTGTTCTCTAGGTCTTACTGTACGTCTGATCTACATCTGAGTAACATCTTCACCTTTAGAACTTCACTGTTTTTAGACAGTATTTATACTAAAGCCAGCTCACAGAGGGATGAAGTAGGAAATATGATGTCCTAGATGGAAACAAGCACTGTCAGATTAATCTCCGCTACAAGTAGCTCTAAAAATCAGTGTAATGCTTGTAGCAAGTTTCTGCTCAAAGCAGAAAAGTAGCCACAGGAAAAGCTTTTGTATGTAACCAACTAGCGTGCAACACTCCCTACCTTCTTAAGGATATCCTAAATGGAAACAGCCAGGAAGAAACAGACAAAATACAGATTGGAAACATGTACTTCAAGTCAAAAAATTCAGAAACTTCAAATGTGTTTCTAGTTGTCAGTGACAGTTGAAACTGATGCAAGGATAAATAGTGATCCTCATTTCATTTAAGCCCAGGGAAAAACCGGTGCTTCCTTTGCTGCTTCTTTCCTAGTTCAGGCTCATGCTGGAGATCCTCTTGCAAGGATAGACTCCTGCATTTGCTGGCAGCTCCAGTAAGGCCCTACAGTAGTGTCAGGATCTGCCAGCATGGATACAGCTACAGGTTTCCTTTGTGCTACAATAAGCTGACGTGCTTTCTGCTCCACAAACTGCAGAAAAACTCAAGTCTCTTCATGTCACACGGGTGAATTGGTTTAGACTGTATCATCACTGCAAAGAGAACAAGTTACAAATCCTACAGGGCCCCTGAAACCAAGTACCCCTTTTTAGAAGTGTCACACGTGTGTTGAGACAAAAAACTCTAGGGGACTCTGCTGGAAGTGCCTTGGCCACCTACCCGACAGCCACTGCCTCAACGAGGGAGAGCAGCTCTGCTACAGGTAGGGCAGGCACCAGCAGAGCCTGAAATGGCTCTTACTAAGTACTGCAGCATTTCCACCACATTACAGTTTGTTCTGTCTCACCACGATTCAACAGGACTGGTCATTCTAATTTTGCATTTAAAGGAGGCTCTCCAAGAATATGCTTCTCACTAAAAAAAAAAAAAAAGAATTTACAATTTGGAAAATTAAGCACTAGTGGAGTTTAAATGATGCCCTCTAAAATTATGACAGCCAGTCAGATTTGGATTCAGCTAGATCTGTTAATAGAATCAGAAAGGAATATTTCACTTCATTGTCTCAACTATGCAGAAAGCTGGACCAGGATGGAGGAAAACAAAAGAAAACACTCATGTCCTGCTCATGCTGGCAAAACTAAGGCCTGTCTATACCCAACCTAGATTTGATTATGCAGGCTTATTTGGAAAAGATATGGAAAAAACTTATAGATATTAACACCTCTCCTTTCTTATCCTGGGACTTATACTGTGCCCAGACATTGCTTTTTTTTTTCCCCCTTAAAGATGAAAGCAGAAGTGAGCCGGACAGACTCAGATGGCACAAGGCACTGCCAGGCAACACTGACCTGGAATCAACAGTTTGCTCCTCGGAGAGCACTCTGATGAGTGGAACTGGGGAGCAAAGGACCTTACCTAGTTCTGGTTCTCACACTGGTTAATCTTGCCATCATAAACAAAGTCAAATCACTGTGTAATTTTTCCTTCTAATGTGGGAATCATACTTTGTTATACTCACTAATTAGTAAGCTATATCCTTAATAACACTTTGAGTGACCAGAAATGCCTATTTTAGAAGATATATCTCTGCAGCATTTTTCCTAAAACACACTGTGCATATATATTTTATTGTCAATATAAAATACTGATGACTCAAAGGTCAATGGCAAAAACATGACTAGTTAACACAAAGACTTCAGTTTGGCAGGAGCCATCTCACCAAGTCAAGGCCTCTGTTTTTACTACTTACTGCTCTTTCAAAATAGCTGAAGCAGAATGCTGACAAATCTTACAGGTCTATGTTTCTCCTATCTGCTGTGGGCTATCCCACCACGTGTATCATCAGAGCACGTGCTGGACTTCCGAGAAATCCTCAAATGTACAGAAAAGAGATGGTCTAAAACATTACCAAGTGGATAAAACTGTCTTAGCCCTAACCCTAACCCTAACCTTTCCATTTCCACGGAAAGGACATTTCTTCTTAGAAGATATTATTTTTTTTGCCTGTGTTCTTGGGTTCCTCAATTTTAGATTTTTAAGTATTTTGAAGTATTATCTGCCTAAATATCTAAGAACCACTAACAGGCATAAAAATATACAGGAATTAATTAAAATTCATTTCAATTTCAAGGAAGATTTTTTTAAACATATCTTTTTAAAATACAGATTTTTCTGAATATGAGGAAGAAACAAGGCAATAAATTACTTCTCATTTCTTCACACTGAATGTCTCAGAGTAATAAATAAAACCAGCAGATTCAGGCTAGAGCTATACATCCAAATTAGGTCAGGTTAATAAAACGCAAGCAACACTTCTTCAGGACCACAATGAACTATAATACATAGTGCTGAACACATGTTTATGCCTATATTTATATATATCTTCAATTGTCAATTCCTCAAGTTAAGCAGACAGCCTGCCCTAGGCCTGTCTTAGCACTGTAGCTAACTGGTGTTTTAGAAGCACTTACTGGAGGCATTCATAACAGTGGTTTCAAGTAGGCCCATCTTCCCTGTGTTAGCACGGCCTCAAAGGCCACACAGAGTCTTCTCCTCACATACATACCACAAAGATCAGGACAGGCAGTCCTGAGCTCAAACACTGCACTGTCCCACTGAAATCTTCCGTTCCAACCTGCGGCAGCTTGGGGTGACTGACATCTGCCATCAAACGTCGGGAAAGTGCTTGAAAACATATGACTACAAAAGCAAAGCTGCTTAACGTAAGCGAAAGGCCTCCGGGAGTTTTCCTTTGCAGGAAAACTGCAGTTAACAAAAAAACTGAAACACGGCAGCCACCCCAATAACGGCACCTGCCCTCAGCGAAGACATTTTCCAACTCTTTGTTTAACTTAAAACTCATTTGCCGTACACCCGGATTTTCTTAAATAAACAAAGAGAAGACACCGAGCCCTGTCTATCCGCACGACGCAACGCTGTTTCCCAACGGGGCGTGTTTGGGAAGGGAGAGCCGGGGGCAGGGAGCGCGGTGCTGGCAGCCGCAGCAGCCGCCGGCGGGGCCGGGCCGGGCCGGGCCGAGGCCGGCAGCCCAAGGCCGCTCACCTGCGGGGAGGCCCCGGGAGCGGCAACTCCGGCCAGCGGCACCCGCGGCCCGACCCCTGGCCCTGCCCCCGTCCCCGCCGCCCTGCCCGGTCCGGCCACCCGCAGGGCCGCCCGGCCCCGCCGCCTCCCCCCTCGTCCCGCAGGACCCGGCCGGGCTCCGCTCTCACCTTTAAGAGATTAGACGTCGCCATGATCCCCACTGCGGGGCCTCCCCGGCCGGCAGCGGCGGCTTCTCTGCTCGAGCTCGGTTCGGCTCCCACCGGCCGCTGCCGCTTTACATGGCCCCGGGCCGCTCGCCCGCCCGGCCGGACCCGCGGCGGCGGCGGCGGCAGCAGCAGCAGCGGCGGCGGCAGCGGCCTCAGCGTTAGGCTTCCCTGTCCCGCGGCGAGGCTCGGGCAGCTCGGCAGCGCTGGGACCGGCCGGGTGCTCCGCACGCAGCCGCCCCTCAGAGCCTCATGGCGGCGTCCGCCCGGGCGGCGCTCGGCAGCCGCGGCTCCATGGAAGGGGCCGGGCCCACATGATGCGGCGCCGGGAGCGGCCCCGCCGCCCAGCGCGGCTGCGGGCCCCGCCTGCAGCGCCCCCTGCTGGCCCGCCGCCCGCGCAGCCCGGCCGCGGCGCCACTGCCCTCACGGCCCCGCGGGACGGGGCTCGGCGCGGAGTACAGGGTGCTGTGGTTTGTAAGCGCAGAAATAACTTGACTTCCAACTAACTAACTAGGTATCTAACTGACTAGCTATGTAACTAACTAACTAGCTATGTAACTAACTAACTAGCTACCCACGGCCCGTGCCGCCGTGCTGTCCCCGCGGGTGCTGCGGCACCGCCCCCCGCATGCCCGGCCGGAGGGAGCGGAGAGCGCCGCGGGCACAGCCCCGCACGGCCACCCGCGCTCAGCCGTGTGCTGCGAGCCAAGCCGCTGCCCGACACCCAATCTCCGGCTAAGCCATCACGCTTCGTGCCAGTTGTCACAAGAGTTCTATTTCCAGAATCTGTAAGTGTGTAAGCGTCTGAAGGCAGAGTGTCAGGAGGACACCCAGTGGTGCCCAGCAATCGGGACACGAGGCAATGGGCACAGAAGTTCCACCTGAACAAAAGGAAGAACTTCTCTGCTGTAAGGGTGATCTAGCACTGGAACAGATTGCCCAGAGGACTTGTGGAGTCTCCTCACTGGAGAATTCAAGAGCTGTCTGGACACAATCCTCTGCTCTAGGATGGCCCTGCTTGAGCAGTGAGGTTGGACCAGATGGCCCCCTGTGGTCCTTTCCAGTCTGACTCATTCTGTGACTCTGTGATCACAGCATCTTCAGAGTTGGAAGGGACACACAAGGTTCATTCAAGTCCAATACAAGGGAATATTCAGTAGGAAAAGTTTGCATTTAGGCACCTTTTGAGAAGGATTTGGAAAATTTCAGGGTTTCTTTATATATTTATGTAAAACAGAATCTCACTTTTCTCTTAAAACATTTAGCCTTTGCCTAAAAATTTATCTTGAAGGAAATGTCACCAAGGTTTCTGCACAGGCTTGGAGCCCTGAGAGCTGATGCTTCCTGTTCAACCTGGCCTGCCCTGAGTCATTAGCATGGACAGCCACACCGCTGGCCACCAGGGATGGCAGCCCTCCTTTTGCCTTTCCTAGACCACAGGATCTGAAGATAAATTCATATTGCAGAGGATAGGGACCCTGAAGTTAAAGAAAAGCTGTAAAAAATATTTAAGAAATGTGTATACTGTTGTGGAAGTTTTGATAATGCTGACCAAATGTGACCTGCAGCCTTAGTAAATGAATAAATTATGATAGTCATATTAAGGCCTTCTTTTAACTGAGAAGTGGAAACAAGGTGTTGAATAATGTCCTATTCTGACAAGGTTTCCAGCTTCCAAATGCTCCAATTTATGATTTTTTTCTTTGCTTTGTTATTATATGTTCTATACTATCAATATTTCAGTATATGGTATTTATTGCACATATAATGAAGTCAGTTACACAGTTTTGCATATAATATATAATTATGCAATGTAGATCTCATTGTATTATGCACTTTCTATTGCACATATATTCTACAATAGTGTTGAAGTTAGGAGGTCTCCAGCAGGGGCAGTAAAATGTGTACATTGTGCATTTGTGCTTCAGCCTCTCCACTGCCCAGTCTGTGTATTACGTTACAGGTGTGTAAGTACCAGAGAAGCTGAGATACAGCTAAATATTCTACAGAATGTGACATGGAGACAGCCATTTCTATGAGCCACTATTCTGTGAACTGATTAATTCTTTCTTGCCCATACCCTTTAAAAATGTGAGCATTTCCAATTATTTAATATGGTTTGTTCTTTTCATTTTTATCTGTATATGTTTGCTATTAATGCCACAATTCAGTGATGTTTATAAACTGCTTTTGATACATAGAGCCAGAAGGTGAACTGCTGTAGAGAGCTTCATCTCAGGTCCCTTTGATGCAAAGCTTAGACAACAGCACAAATCATTAGAATGCTGTAGAAGCTGCAAATTTTGCTTAATCAGCATTGAAGCTAAATGAAGTTGGGCAGTGTTTTAAAATGCTATGTTTGAAAATGATGGCTTTCTCTGTATTTGCACTTTTCATCCAATCTTTCAACCAAATGTTGCCAGAAGAATGTGGGAGTACACAGGATGCAGGAGCACCAGAGTACTTTTCATGGTCTGGTCTTTTCTAAGTCCCCTGGGGCACCTGGTAGACGTTATGTAACACTGGATGGGTCAGCAATGACTGTGCTGAGTATGAGTTCCTGCATCCTGCCCCAGTGTGCTCTTGTGCAACAGTTATGAATGGGCTAGCCAAGGAACAAAGAGAACTTGAATGGGCTAGCCAAGGAATAAAGAGAACTTGAACATCTGAGAAGCACAGAGACAAGGAAATGCTGGTACTTTTTACTGATATTAAAAATAGTGTGCGTCTCATTTTGCATGGTTTACACAATAACTGTAATTGTTGGGGTTTTTTCCCTGAAGATCTGTGCATGAATTTTCTGGGAAGTAAAGACATCTGTGAGTCTTAAGGTTTTGTAGTATTTTAGTACCACTTCAGGGTGTTTCTACAGTGCTCAGAGTTACACAATATTGTTTTATTTACTTTAATTCTATTACAAATGGATTATTAAATTCTGCTGGTAATGAAGATATTAATTATTGATTGGTTCTACATTGGCCTACAGTTTTAATCCTTTGCATGGATTGTAAAAGGCAGAGGGAATGGCAATCCCAGACGTGCACTACTTCAAAGTGATTAGTAAGGAGCAGCTCATGAAGATTTGGATGATCAGTGAAATTATTACCGTCATAATATTCTAGATATTTTGGAGTAAACTGATTCCAAGCTTTGAATGAGTTCCATCAGAGAGAAATATATGTTTTAATGACCTGAAACCAATAAGATGAACCAATAATATCAACATGGTTCTAATCTTTGTCCATGAAGGGAAAAAAACATGTGGTGCTTGAATAATCCATTTTAAACTCTTCTCCCATCAAACTAATTATATTCAGTAGGGATACTAAAACTTACATATTTCTTTCAGTTGGAAATTCTTGTTTATCGCTGCTGTGGACTGTCACAATGACCACATGCACAAAACGTGCTGTGAGTCACCGAACACAATCCTTTTAAAAGGGCAAGAACACTCAGACATCTGCCTGTAGCTGAAAAAAGCAGCATTGTCAGTGACCAAACTTCTATGTTTGTTTCCATTTCAACAAGTAAGCGAACACTTCTGGTGTTTACTATCTGGGCTTCACATCACCTTTTCTGCTAATAGCAATGGCATTCTGCAGAAATTGCCTGCATGTGGCAGTAAAGATTACTGCTGCTTTCACTTAAAGCAGCCCAAGGCTTTGCTATCTTAGCGTCACCAGAACCACCTATCCTGTGCATCTCAGTATGACCCCTTTGTTCTCACGCCAACATTGTCCTGCAGCTTAAATAACCTTTCTCACTGATGTTTGTTTTTCCTCTGATGTGTTTTTTAGACCACAGTGCTATTCCTTCATAGTTTCCTTGCTGGAAAACCTTTCACTTTTTATCCTGAGTGTCACTGAGGATGATGAGGGGTGGTGCAGAGTGACTGTTAGCAGGCAGAACCTGCAGGAGGGTTTTTGTTTGGGCCAAATTCCTCCTGGGACACAGAGAAACACGTGGCATTCGTTAGGCAGATTGTGGCCATTGTTCCTCACACAAGCACAGCGTTGCAGAGAACTGCTGTGGGGAATTACATTTGATCTCCCAGTGGTTTTTGGACAGCTAGAAATTTACTGTTCCATTCACTATGTACTCAGGGAGCTAGAGTTGGGCTGTGAAGCATGGTAGTGTGAAAGAGGATACCACAAGAAAAAACATGTTCTACTTTTCTGACACTTGTTCACATATGAATCTCTTTTTCAGTGCTCAGTAAGCTTTGCCTCTCTTTTGTTTTAAAAGCTTTTCTGAGAATCAGACTCTTTTCCACAGAGAATTGGGCAGAGAAGAATCCCAATAAAATGAACTGTTTTGATGGGATTTGACTGATTGATGGGATTTGAGACATGTATTTTAAAGTTACGTCCTGGCATAGGTTGTTCTTTTAAAATATACAACACAAGTTGTATGTCAGCAAAATTACTAAAATGATCTGCATATAGAAGACTTTTCTTCCTGAATAATATGCAGTAATTATTTTTAAATTATGAACTAATATAAATTATTACTTAATAGCTGAACTATTTCTTTGGCATTGAAAACTTAACCAAAATGGACAATTCTCGAAAGTGCTGCAGAGCAGTGCCAGCCCTGGAAGGTTTTTATTACTAAGATTATGACTGGAATATTTTCCACAATTCCTCCCCTCAGTTTTAGTACCTTAATACTTAGCAACGACCACTAAATTGCCCTGCTCACTGTCAGACCCTGGTGCCAGATATGCCTTCTGTCAGTCCCTTCCTGTAAAGAAAGCACGTGGGGGAGAAGGTGGAAGGGGAAAAAGCCTGCAATGTAGACATTTGCCTTTATGCAATGTAGACACTATGCAATGTAGACGTGGTGCCAGCACACAGTTATACCCAACTATTCCTGCAACTGTGCCCCACAGATCCTTAGGGAGTGCTGGGATTGGGGACTCAGGAGCCTGCATCTCTGTGCAGACTCCAGGTCCTTGGTCCTTTCTTTCATCCCACAAGTCCCACTACAGTGATGGATATTTCTGCAGGGTCTTAAGGGCTCTGGCAGTGGTCAGTCAAAATTCTCCCTCAGGGCTGTGCAGGGATGGAAGAAATTATCTGTGTCCTCCTTCCACCCTTATTTTGTGCAGCCCTCTCCCTGGTG